TTCTTGGCCACCAGGGCACATTGCTGGCTCGTGGGCATCCTGTTGTCCCCCAGCACTCCCGGGTCCCTTTCCCCAGAGCTGCTCTCCAGCAGGTCACCCCCAACCTGTACTGGTGTGTGGGGTTATTCCTCCCCAGGTGCAGCACCCTGCACTCGCCCCTGTTGAACTTCATTAGGTTCCTCTCCACCCAACTCTCCAGCCTGGCGAGGTCACGCTGAATGGAGTCACAGCCTTCTGGCGTGTCAGCCACTCCTCCCAGTGCTGTGTCATCAGTGAACTTGCTGATGGTACACTCTACCCCTTAATCCAGCTCATTGATGGATATATTGCAGAGGACTGGACCCAGTACTGACCCCTGAGGGACACCACTCATTACTGACCTCCAACTGGACTCTGCACCACTAACCACAACCCTCTGAGCTCTATCTGCCAGCCACTGTTCAATCCACCCCACTGTCCATTCATCTAACCCACCTCAATTCACCTCAAATTCACCTCAAATTAAGCTGCTTTGGCTCCCTGCTGTAGCAGGTTCATTGCCCAGCCTGACCCTGGGAAGCAATTCCCGCTTTCCCCAAATTGCCAGAGTTTTGGGCCGGCTCAGCGGGTGCCACGCCGGGTACTGAACGGTGCCTCCAACATCCCCCCTCGCTCCTCCGCACCTCTTCTCAGCACCTTTCCTATTTTATTTTCTTTCTTGTTTTTCCCCAGAAATGAGCTTCTCTTACACTTGAAGACGTACAACATCTACTACGAAGGGCAAAACTTACAGCTGCGGCACCGGGAGGTAAGAAACCACCGGGGCAGGGACCCAGCTCATCTCTGGCAGGAGAGGAGGGAAAAAGAAACCCCAAAAACGGAGGGAATCGGGTTGGGTTCAGATTCGTGAGGGGAAAAAAAAAAAATAGCCTTTTCGTAATATTGATGGCGGCGTGCGTTCGGGATGTTGAGGTGCCCGTCTCTCGCGCAGGAGGAAGGCGAACTCATCGTGGAGGGGCTCCT